TAAAATTCTTGTTTTGATGCGAATAGATTTTTAACAGCTTGGCATTGCGATGTAAGTGTTTGGTCGGGCACAAACAAAAGACGCTAATGCCACACAACTAAATATAACCATTTTTTGAACAGACAGAACAGACTGACTGAGTTTGGTTTTACGCCGCATTTGGGCAATATTCCAGCAACATCATGGCGGGGGACACTAGAAATGGGCTTCACACATTGTACCCATGTGGGGAGTCGAACCCGGGTCTTCGGCGTGACGAGCCAACGCTTTGACCACTAGGCTACCCCACCGCCTCGATAGAACAGAGAACAGAACAGAATTTTATTTCAGTAATAGGTCTCCGGCCCAAAATACATATACATAAATCGTTGGGTAGGTAGAGCATATATAGTGTATATCATTTAGATTTGGGTTTCTTGTCAACATGGTATTAAAATAGACTTACATCCTTGATGATATTAACATTTTTACTCTGTAATATCGATTTAAAATTAATAATTGATGGACATTTACTAAAATATTTTGATATGTACTTATTTCTGATGTGTGAATATTCATCACAGATGGCACAAAACACATGCCATTTATTTTCAACAACCATTTAATTTACAAAACAGACACTGCCTTTTATTACATGCAACATTAACATATCTACCAGTTTCAACTGCTAGTTTAGAATTACAACACCGACATATTTTTAAAGTGCTATAAGTTTGAGATGACCCCCGACTCGAAATGTTTCACAGTACCATACATAATGACAAGGCCGGACACTTTGGTGCACCCCACCCGGATGCTTTGCCAATCGCTACGCAACCATTGCACGCAATCGATTGAAGCCTAATGTAAACATAATCAGGGATGATTGGCCTATCGAGCACCACTCATGCCAACTACCAATTCTTTATTGTTATTTCTGCAAGTCGGTTGAAACCCGAATTTGACTCTTAACTAAACGATTCTTGACACAGATGGATGACGATATATCCGCACAAAACACCAACACAACTTCTATTCCGGCTTCCAAACCAAAACATGTTTCCTTTTCTTCAGTAAGTTGCCAGACGGAATACACGTGGGCTTGGACTTCTGCTCCTACCTTACTGTCTGCAGAGATCCAGTCCAAACCCTCATTAGTCACCTCCTGTTCACAAACCTCGTCTTCATCCAAAAGTGTCATTCAATCTAAGGCATCTTCTGAGAAGGATGCATCTGCTTCTCAAAAACAAACAGATAAATCGGACACAAATGTGAAACAAAATGTGGAAAAGAAATCCAAACCTAACAATGACACTCCTAAAACGAATCTAAGTAACAGAACCCCAAAGGGGCCAAACTGTCCGATCCAGCTTTTTAACAAGTCTGGATCTCCTGAGGACATGGATGTGTCTGGCCATAGCCATGGTAGGACAGATAGCTTTTCACCTTCAAGGAAGGTGAGGGTAGATCTCCTGTTCATCCGGCAAAGAAATAATGTCTTCACCCATATTTCAATGGGACTAATTTAATTGATTTACAGTTTATAGTCTAAGACAGATAAATATGACCTACGTCATTGCGTATCACTATTTTTCTCCTGGTGGTTCATCTATTCTGGTGAGGAATAATGTTATCCATAGTCCATTTAAAACAAATCTCCAAGTCGTTGCAATTCGGTTTACATTAGAGGTTGCTTTTACTTTGTGCTCTTTGTACATCCCGCATTCATTAGGTGTTCAACTAACTGATCTGCGAGCTCTCTATGATCAACTGCCTAAACTCTGTTTAATGATGGGGGATTTAATTGGCAACAACCCACTCCGGGTCGGTGCTAATTCAAACAGCAAAGGTAAATTATTTGAGGATTTCATTTCAAATAATGATCTATGCATTTATAATGACTGTGCAAATACGTATTTACATCCTGGCACAGGAACTTATTCAGTCTATTACGGGCTCTAACCTGTTTAGTGAATTTGAATGGACAGTCCACGACGACCTCTGCGGAAGTGAACATTTCCCAACAATACTAAAACCCGCGAATCCATCTGACGTTCCTCCATCATCAAGATAGAATTTTAACTGGCCTTTATATTCAAAAGTCACTATTCCTTTTTCTAAAACAGATTTTCAAGGGTTACTTGTAGCAAAATTAGCACGAAGTCTATCTAAATGTTCACCACTCACTTCGTGTGCTTTGAGTTCATTTGTCTGAAGCCTTTTGAGTGAATGAGTGAGTGAGTTTAGTTTTGCGCCACACTCAACAATATTCCAGCTATATGGCGGCGGTCTGTAAATAATCGGGTCTGGACCAGACAATCCAGTGATCAACAGCAGGAGCATCGATCTGCACAATTGGGAACCGATGACATGTGTCAAACAAGTCAGCGAGCCTGACGACCCGATCCCGTTAGTCGCCTCTTACGACAAGCATGGGTTCCTGAAGGTGCATACTACTGAAGCCTTTGGAACCTACCGCAAACTGATTAACGTTTCAATCCTTGCTAACTGGCCTTCCAAATTCACGACAGATCTGACAGAAAACATCTTTCAATCTGTTTCATTCAAGCCAATCTGTGTGCTTATCAGGCGGCCAGTTCATAGGAATCTAATTTTAGCCGGTTTTTCTTTCAAATTACCAAGAGTGCTGTCAATTTCATTTACCAACGTACTTTCGCTTTCAACTTCTAAACTTCTTTTTTCCTTCCGATTTATTACAAATCGAATCCGATTCTTTAGTCATTAAGTTTCCGAAGCTTTAAAAAATCTTCTGCCGTTTCATGATTGAAAACAAATTAAAGCCTCAACTTCCACTCATGTCTATCGACCACAGGAACCACTGTCACCCTTGCATATCGACTGCTTCCGAGAATACCCATAATGCAGTTATGACATACGCAGTAATCATAAAAATGGCCGCGATATCGCAGTAGCAATAAAACAAGCCTGATCACAGTTAAGATAGAGAGATAGTCAATAGATAAGTTCTAACCAATGTAACACCCGTCTATTGATCACTAACAACCAAAGTTTGGCGGTCTTACAGGGGATCAAGGGGACTTAATCGGGTTTTGCTTCCTACATGATTTCATAGCAGGATCTATGTCGTCTATCTGGTTATCAGTGGCTGTAGGTTATGCTACCAAATATTGAGAGCATCACAAACCAATCGAAATTGTAAAACACAAGACACTATTAAATACTTTGATCAAGAATGGACCATACATCACCTATTGTCGCAGCAGTAATACACGAAAATGTGTACGCTAATTTCTTGTTCATTTTCATGTCTTTCAGAATGGATGTTTCAAGACTTCGAACCAGTTTTGGGGACAAGATGCTGCTTGCAAAGGTGTTTGTAATGTAAGAGCTTGGATGTTGTGGTCTGTGGACAACAAACGCACACGCGCGCAAATAAGAAATAAACATCTGTTCACACACTGAACATGTTTTTATTCAATTCATCGTACGATATCAAGACAAAATACAACACCAAATCTGAAATACTGCGTAATTTCTGTCTTATTTGCGAAAGAATTCTATCAATGTTTGAACACAATGTTCTTAGCCTCCTTTCACAAAGCACTGAGGTGATCGTATGTCACTATGGTAACCTTAGTGCAATGTTAAAGAATGGGAGTTAAGGTTAACCTTAGTAAAGGTTGCTCATGAAAGGAGCCCCTGATCTCTAGTAGGATCTGCTTCTCTAAACGGGGCAGTAATTAGATCTCTCTACGTCTTCTGAAGTGAAAATGTAAAGGGCTGTGTAACACGTCAATTGAAACAAATATTTTCAGAAAAGTATATACTTATAGACACACTACTCTTGAGACTAACTCTTTGAAGAAAATGGAAGGCAAACATGTTCAATATACATTGAAGAAAAAACTGCTCTTATGACAAAATATGAACATAACAAAATGTCTATCAAAACCAAACTACGGTTACCCACTGTTTTACCATTGCAATATTTATTTGAGGAAACACTTCCTGAATGCATAAATATATCAATATCAGAACATGCCAGTTCGTCGCCTGAAAACCAGAGTGTTCTAAGTCCACTTTTGACAAAATTAGAGTTAGTATGCTCAGGGTAGGTTTTAGAGCATAATCTATTACTCTAGCAACGTTTGACAGTGCTATCTAGCTTTGAAAGTGGTTTCTCAAACACAAACTTTGTTCTGTCTCCATGAAAATTCACATGTTGTTAATTTTCGAGTGTTCTAAGTTGTCAACTGACCAATGAGCAAGCAAAATTTGATCACGTGACGTTGAGATTTACCAATTTTGAAGTGATTGTCATCATGGAAATGGTACAGTTTAACTCTGTTCTTATTTCTGCTTTATTTAATTAAATATAGTCCTTATGAAAGTAAAACAGGTTTAAAAGACAAAAATACAACCTGATAATAAAGAAATAACAATCAAATATCGATATAATAATAAAGCTGAGTTTTAGCTGTGTTCTTTGACACTTACAACACTTTGGTTTTGAGAAAAATCACGATTTTCTTAGGTCAAGTGTCCTATCTCCAATCATGTTTCGTGAGTTTCTTATTTATTTAAATAGTTTGAGCAGATAATTTGAATTTTTCCGATTCTGTTGAACATGTCACATGCATGTGCAAAATTTGGAAGACTTCGATTGAAAAGTTTAGAAGATATTGTTGTCCTAAACTTCAAGATATAATTTATCGAAAATAGTTTTTTGTGACTTAGTACACTCTGGTTTCCAGACGACGAGTTATCGCTGTTGCCGTCGTCGTCGACTCGTTTACTCTCTCGTTGGTTCTCAGCGTTGATGGTTCACAATTCCCAGTGACAATACATACTGCACCACCTCCAAATGTCCTCCCCGACGGGCCAAGTCAACAATCGTTTTATCATTTGAGTGAGAGATTAGCATCATTCTTCACCAGTAATTTTACCACTTCGTTATGTCCCCGTTCTGCTGCTACCATCACTGGTGTCCTCTTCTTCCTTCCCCTGCTGTTTATGTCCACTGTGTTCAGCGAGAGGACCTATTTCACTACATCAAATTGTCCGCGGAAACAGGCTTTGTGAAGGATCTTGTTTCTTGATGTTTCACTGAGTGACAGATCAGCTCCATGTTTTACGAGTAATTCCACAACGTCTTTATGACCCCGTTCTCCTGCTACCATCACTGGTGTCCTCTTCCTATTTCCTCTGCTGTTTACGTCCACTGTGTTCAGTGAGAGGACATATTTCACGACATCAAAACGTCCTGTGTAACAGGCACGTTGAAGGATGTTGTCACCAAGTCGATCAGTTACTCGCAGATTAGCTCCATGTTTTACGAGTAGTGCCACCACGTCCGTATGACCACTTTCTGCTGCTACCATCACTGGTGTCCTCCTCTCCCATCCCCTGCTGTTTATGTCCAGCGAGTTCAGTGAGAGGACATATTTCACGACATCTAAATGTCCTCTGTTACAGGCATGGTGAAGAACATTGTTCCCCTTTCTATCATGAAGTAGCAAATTAGCTCCATGTTCTACGAATAGTTCTACCACTTCCTTATGACCCCTTTCTCCCGCTGCCATCACTGGCCTCCCCCCGTCCCATCCCCTGCTGTCAATGTCCACCGAGTTCAGGAAGAGGAGATATTTCAATACATCCACACGTCCCCCGTAAGAAGCCAAGTGAAGGATGTTGTTACCATGGTCATCTTTGATTGACAGATTAGCTTCGTGTTTTACTAGTAATTTCACCACTTCGGTATGTCCCCTTTCTTCTGCTACCATCACCGGTGTCCTCCTCTTGTTTCCCCTGCTGTTTATGTCAACCGAGTTCAATGAGAGAACATCTTTCACTACGTCCACACGTCCATCGTAACAGGCACGGTGAAGGAGTAATTCCACCACTTCTTTATGTCCCTTTTCTCCTGCTACCATTACTGGTGTCCTCTTGCCGTGTCCTCGACTGTTGATGTCAACCATTTCCTGTGAGAGGATGTACTTCACCACTTTCTCATCTCCTCCACGACAGGCGCAGTGAAGGACGTTGTCACCTGTTTCATCCACGAGTGACATGACAGCTCCTTTTTCTACAAGCAACTTCACCACGTCTTTATGTCCGTTCTCTGCTGCCAGCATCACAGCTGTTCTCCCGCACCCTACTCTACCATTGATGTCCAACATGGTCTGTGAGAGGACATACTTCACCACCTGTTCATCTCCTCCCAGACAGGCGGTGTGAAGGATGTTGATGCCGAATCTACCGACAAGTGACACGATAGCCCCTTTACTTGCAAGTAACTCCACCACTTCTCTATGTCCCCTACCGGATGCCCACATCACTGGTGTTCTACCAATCCATTCTTGACAATTAATGTCCCTCTGTCCCTGTGACAATAGGAGTTTCACCCTTGACAAGTCCCCAGTCTTTGAGGCGGTGTGGAGGTCACACAGTGGTGGAGCTGTAACACAAAGTTAAACTCTATACAAATCTTAGTATAGAAGTAGTTTGGAAGGGACAAGATCAAAGTTGCGGAACATCCGGAAATCGAGTGCACGAGTTCTTCATCAGGATGACACAACGTGTATGTTACAAATATGATAAATAAACTGAGAAAACCTGACTTAACAGAGGAAGTAAACAAACAGATGAGTCATCATATGTTGCAATAACAGGCCGTGTCAACAGTTGGGTGTATCAAGTTATTCAATTTTCTGTCAATATTTGTTTGTGTACTCCCATTGTATGAGCTTTATTGTTCTACAGTATTCAAGGTAATTGTGATACAAGTCGTGGACAACCGTGTGAACGTACTTTACAGTACAAACAACGCTGGGCATAGTAAAAACAGACAGACGTTGTGCATAACTATGAGATACGTCTGTGTCAACAGTCAAAACCTGCTTACACTCGAGCAAGTGGTGATAATGAATCTGCGAAAAGATTGTTTTGGCCTTTATTAAGTTTGATGTTTGAACCAGATTCCATGTGAGATGCACAAGTCCTAACCTGGATTCTGCCGAACTGTTGCATGGGCTGTTGGAACAACCCTGACATAAAATGGAAGCCTTGGTCTGTCTGAATAGACTGAGGCAAACTAAGGATACGGAAATACTTCACCAAAGCCTTGAAAATAACCTGTGCCATAATGTTCTGAAAAGGAACCCTAGCGAAACACATGACACTAAGCATGTACTGACTGCCCAACACAGTCAGGGATGCCCGTCCTGAAGGACTATTCAAAAGCTGGGAACTCAAAACATGTTTTCAATGGAAAAACTTTCCCTTCGTTTCAAGCATGTACATCTGGCGGAAATGTGTATCGTCTTTTGAGGGCGGCACATCATACTATCCTTCGGAAACAACTCATGCCAATTGACTACTTCAAGATATACAGACTGATACAACACTAGACCCTCAGGGAAATGGTGTGTGTTGTAGATCAGAACTGGTTCGGTGGTCATGTCATAGCCGGCCAAAGTCCATACGCATCTGCTAATGTTGGTTACTGTGCCTCTCAGAGGAAACCAGATGAAACAATGAAGATCGAATATGTGACAGGTCAAGTTGTCCAGATTATGTTCTATCTTCATGCATGCTTCGACTCCAATTGTTACGGCTTTGCAAAACGACCCAACGGTGTGGCGTTGTACATTCAGGGAATGATAGATTGGAGTACACGAAAGCCATGTTTCGTATATTTAAGGACCCAGGTACAAGGACAGACTGTGGATATAGTTCATTGATCACGCAATCTGATCGTGGAACGTCAGATACATACACTCGTCTCTGTCTTGCCCTCAGTGGTAAATGTGTGGAATAGGCCAAAAACAGTCAGTCATAATGTTAGGGTTTGGGCAGGGTCTGTTGGCTGATATGTATTTATTATTTGACAACCAAGTATCTCTTTATTAAACTGAATCATTCCTGATACGGTTACCCACTGTTTTAAAGACTATGCATCCTCGATAATCTCCAGGGTATACGTTACGATCACGCTCATCTCTACCCTGTATGAATGATAAATGCCAGCAAATTGAGATCAGTTGACTGCCACCACGGCAACTGGATAGTGTAGTTTGTTCATGAGATCAAACTCTGGATGGGCTTTCAATCGCAGCATCCCTTCGTTGTCGATTTTGAACTTCGTATAGTCACGACCCAATGGTTCGACATAAGTTTTATTTCATACGTTGATATAAAATGATGATTACCGTTCGAGAACTGAAAAGGATTGCTAAAGAACGTGGAGTGATCGGTTACTCCTGCTTGAGAAAACCTCAGCTGTTGAGATTACTTGACATGAAACACCATGTCGATGAACAACGACAACCCACGGTGAAACAATTCAACCTCCAAGCGAAGGAACGTGGGCTCAGAGGTTATTTGTGCATGAGGAAAGCCAAGCTCGTCGAACTGCTGGAGGAACACAAACCCTCTGAACTACGGTTCGTGCATACAAAGCAAGCCGTAGGTAAGCATCTGCGTGGCAGGAGGATGGACGTTGACAAAAACATGGACGTCGACGAAATCAAACTGCTGGTCGTTGATAAAAGTTGACGAGGAACTGAAATTTCAAATTTCAACTCACAGTGAAAATGTCGCTGGAAAAACAGCAGACGGACGGTAGCACCGAGCCCTTCCAGCCTTACTTCAGAGGCAAGCAAGAATATTGCGACTAAACCCGAATCCATCGACGCGTCCATCGACACCTCGTTGCAAAAAATACGAGAATCCCTGGAAGGCTACAGGCACATGGGTTCGGGTTGGGTCATGGGAAGGATCGACACGGTCTATGTGGACGTAGCGAACTACATGCCATTCAAAGGCGGATCGTACCTGGACTTGTCACCGTACAACAAGCCATGGTCAACGTCAAAAACAAAGACGACAATTGCATGCGGGTTGCGATCAGATCAGCTTTGTTTCCGGTCAACGCACATTGGAGAGACCTTCAAACTATCCCAAAGACGACAGGCTCAACTGGGACGGCATACACAAACCCACTCCCATCTCCCAGATCGCCAACAGTGAAAAACAGAATAGACACATAGCCATCAACGTCTTTGGACATGAAGGGAACACAACGATCATGCACAGGATCAGCTCCATTAACGACAGACGATGCAAGACGATCAATTTATTCATGATCCAGCGAGGCGACAAGTATCACTACGCATAGATAAAAAGTTTCAGCAGACTGTTGTATGATCAATCGAAATACGACGGGAAAAACACTTCTGCGAACGGTGCCTGCATGGCTTCACACAAGCTGAACTGTTGGAAGCACACCGGGAGGATTGCAGAGGCGTGGGAGAGACGGCCGTCCGAATCAACATGCCCGACGAAAACGACAACATCTTGAAATTCGTCAGCCACATTCATCAAAATCCCGTGCCTTACGTCATTTACGCTGACTTCGAAGCCCTCGTCAAAACCATTGACACCGTACGGGGTACGTGGTTGTTCAATGCGACAGACAAACGAACGCTCCAGTGGTCTACCGAGGTCCCGACGTGGCTGAAAGATTTCTCACGTGTTTGCAAAACGAAGAGAAAATCATCAGGAAACAGTTGTGCACCATCGTCCCCATGCGCATGACGCTGAGGGTCAAGTTCGTTCATCAATGAGCGATATATTGCCACGTGTGCGACGAACCCCTGAACAGAGATGTCGGGAGAGATAACTGCCACGTCACCAGTAAGTACAGAGGTGCAGCGCACAAAGCTCAAGATCAAACGATCAAAATCCCCATAGAGCTTCACAATCTTCACGGTTATGATTCTCACCTGATCATGCAGGGATCGCGAAGGTCGACGACAACATAACACGCATCCCAAACAACATGGAAAAATACATCTTGTTGTCATTAGACGGTCTGAGATTTATCGACAACGTTCAGTTTCTGCTGTTGTCTCTAGATAGTGTTGTGAACGCCAACGACGCGGACGACTTTGACATCACCAATCGATACACCGACACCGAGACTCGACCTCTGCTGCTGAAGAAGGGCGTCTACCCCCTAAAAATACATGGACGATTGGTCCAAGTTCAACGAGACGCGATTACCTCCCATCGACCACTTTCACAGAAACTTGACCGACTTGACCATCACCCCGGACAATTACGCACACGCCCTCAACATGTGGGACAAACTGAGCTGCAAGAATTTGGGCGATTACCATGACCTGTACTTGAAAACGGACGTGCTGCTGCTGGCCGACGTGTTCAAGATATTCAGAAAAAACGTGCTCGAAACAGTACGGCCTAGACCCCGCGTGGTATTCCTCATCCCCCGGTCTCTCTTGGGACACCTTGTTGAAAAAGACCAGCGTGGAACTGAAACTACTGACGGATTACGGCATGCACCTGTTCGTGGAGAAAGCTCTGCGAGGCGGGATTTCCATGACATCCAAACGGTATGCCAAAGCTAACAACAAGTATGTTCCAGCTCACGACTCGAGCAAACCGACCAAACGCATCCTCTATCTCGATGCCAACAACCTGTACGGCTGGACCATTAGTCAGTATCTCCCCACCGGCGGATTTGAATGGGTCTCCCAAACTGATATCGACGTGAATTGCATCGCACAAAGGATTCGAACAAAGGCTACACACTAGAAGTGGACTTGGACTATACCGCAGAACTACACAAATCGCACAACAGCTATCTGCTAGCTCCCGAAAGATTGACGGTGAACCCGGACTGGATGTCTGAATATCAAAGAAACTTGCTGGGCAACAATAAGCCGGCTAACGTAAAAAACTCGTACCGAACTTGAAGAACAAGACAAAATACATCGTTCACTATCACAACCTGCTGCTGTACTTGTCACTAGGAATGAAACTCATGAAAATACACAGGGCGCTCCAATTCGATCAAAGTCCGTGGATGGAGCCCTACATCAGAATGAACACGGATTTTCGAAAGCTGGCCACCAGTGATTTCGAAAAAACTTGTACAAGCTCATTAACAACTCGGTGTTGGGCATAACGATGGAGAATTTGAGAAAACGCGTGAACGTGAAGCTAGTCAGATCCAGCGAGGAAGAAAAACTCAGGAAACTTATAGCCAGCCCGACGTTCAACCGAAGCAAAATATTCGATAACGACTTGGCAGTGCTACACATGAACAAAAGTCACATCAAATTCAACAGGCCCGTTTACGTGGGGATGAGCATCCTATACCTATCCAAACACTTGATGTACAATTTCTACTACAACGAGCTGAAGAAACAGTACGGCGACAAGTGCAAAGTAATGTACACAGACACGGCTTCCCCGCTGATGGAAATTCACACCGAGGACGTGTATGAGGACATGGTTGTTAATAGTCATTTGTACGACACCAGCAACTACCTTGAAGATCACCCTATACATAACACCGCCAACAAAAAAGTACTCAGCAAGATGAAGGACGAATACGCGGGCACACCAATCGCCGTGTATGTTGGCTTGAGACCCAAGATGTATTTGTTGTCTGTGACCAATCGTATCATGAGATACCTGTCACAGAGGAAGGTATAGGTGAAGGGGCGTGGGCGAAATTTCTGAAGAGCACGTTTGGTCACTTAACAGCTTGGATAGAGATTGATTATTGGCTATATCGTTGACCAGTCGAAATGCTGGGTTTCGGCTTTATCAACTCAAGCTATCATGTAACAGTTTGTGTATTGTAAACATACATAATCGTAACGATGTTTGAAATAATACACATAAGACAAATAGGAGTAGATAGATCTCAGAGATCGAAAACACATTTTAGAGTTTTTCGATAAGTAAAACAAAGTGAAGCAGATGCGACAGACTGGACTCACTGTCCACAAGCAGATGCATGCTGCCCAGAGGAACCAAGTGAATGAGCTTATTCACCAGGCTAAGTCCAGCCATTACAATGCTGCTTTGGAAAACGCAGGGTGTCAGAGAGAGATATTTCACATTTCTAATCAACTTCTCTTCAAGCAAAGTCGCACGATACTGAATTATTATAATGTAGACATTTGCAGTTTAATCCCCCAAAATATTTATGAAGATGGGCGTGCCTATATTCATACTGAATGTAAACGAGGTTCATAAGATTACAGATGTGCATGTATGCATAAACGATCCATTATATGAAATATGACAACGTAATAATACCTAGAAAGTAAATTCAAACTATTCTAGTGTGTTGGAATTCTTTGTAAGTCCTTGCAATTTCGTATATTGTTTCCTAGTAGTTGAAGAAAATATAATGTTTAGTAACCTCTGAAGCATTAAATCTAATTCAACCAATGTGCATAAGAAGCAGATAAGTATCCACTCCCAAAGAAGAGTACCAGACACTTTCCTCTGTAAAAACATCTCATAATCCCCTTTCTCGCGGACTTGTGTTCATTTACCAAACGCTGTATAAGCCTACAATAATGATTAGCAATTGCTATCGTAACACTTTAAATACTTCTTCTGATTAACGCTAAAGTACGACACACATGTGCATCTCGCTGAATAAGAGGTGCTTTCTGTTGTTGCACATGTGCGGCTCTCGCTGTGAGAAGCTAATTAATTTGTCGCACATGTGCGTCTCTCGGCCTTAATGAGGTAAATGTAGACTACAAAATAGCTTCTGGAGTAATAGCAAATAGAATCAAGAATGTTCTACCAAATATCATTAGCAAAACGCTAAGGACCGATTTCCATTAAATGGTATCAGTGTGGAATTAGATATATTCGGGAGCTAATGGCTGATTCAGGACACTTAAAAGAATTCAATGTCTTGAAATACGACTCCAGATTAAATGATAATTTCATTTTTATATTTCAGACTGATAAGTTTCATACCCAACTCATGGAGTAACTTATCAAAAGATAACCCGAATAACAGAACACATTGAAATATTAATTGTAAATTCTCAGGGACATAATCTCATCACTAGTTTGTAAACTGATTTGTAATGATGAGGGGTATTTATTCTCTTCGAGATCTTACTTCTGAAATGGAACTCAAAGTTGGATATACATATATCAGAAAATAACCTGTCCCAATGTTTTGATACAATACCCAATTGTGAGGCGGGCAGCAAGACACGGAATTTCCAGTATAAACCCATGAATCCTATCATACCATCAAAATCATTTCTTCACAAAATGGGAGTAATAGAGAATAACCTGTGAACATTTTGCCAATCCGAAAGTGAAACACTAGAACATTATTTTCCTGTCGAAAAGTTAAAACTATGATAAATGAATTCAAATTTTGTTATGGAAGTAAAACCTATTTAAACTTAGACTTAAATATGAATAATTTCCTTGGCGATCCAAGATGAATATCCTTGAAAACTAAGCGCCTTCTTCAAAACTGTCATAACAATAGGTGAGTGAGTAGAATATTTTACGCCACATCGGCAATATTGCAGCCACATCGTGACGAGGATTTGAATAATAGATAATGTTGTAATAAATAAAGTCAAATTATTAAAGCCTGGACAGAACAATACCTAGAGGATCACAGATATGGATATAAAACTAGTATGAGAAACTAAATACTTTAACTATGGAAGACAATAAAATATAAGAACAGGCAACAACTGAAGGTAGATTCCCATACTAGAGACCATGGGGACGTACAGTACATTTGCTTCCTGCGTGTAACCAGCTGGATTTACACCATCCCTCCAGTCAGCCGTTCACGCCGCTCAGCCACCCCGGGTTACACACATTCCCAAATATAATATGTTAATTTATGACCTCTTTCTAGGTGACATTGTGCTTGTAGGGCCAATTTTGATGAATTATCAGCCAAACAGAATCGAGTATCACTCAATGTCGTGCTAGATTACATATTCAAGAACATTTGATGCCAAGACGTTATGTGAAAGGAATTATGTTAGAAGGACAATCTGTCATATTTCAGATAGTATTACTGATCTGCGAGTTTACTAGGTTGAGAGAGACTATACTAAGGTGAGCGTCATGCACTCCTCTGCCTGATACACTTACCTTCCATACAGACCTTCTTACAGCCTTCATCCACACATTGGGAAGTCTCATTGCAGACCGCGGAGACACAGGATTCAGTGAGGACCTTCAGAGAAAAGTACATATGTCTCTCTACTATCGATATAATTTAACGAGGTCAACACATGTTGATACAGAACATTATAAGTTGGGCCCGGAGGGACCAGTGAACAGCGTATTTATTTTACCGAGCACTTCAATGGTAAATTTGAACTGTTTTAAGCACGGGTATAGCATCATAGTATGGAGTACCAAACGACAAGACAAGAAAAACATATTTAGAGTTATCTCCCTTCCATCGATTTGCTTTCGCAAAACTTCGGTAATTCCGCACACCACACGTGAGTCAATGTTATTCGAGATAAAAAAAATACTACTACGAAGTACCAAATGAGTTCGGCATTCCCAGCGGGGTACATAGAAAATGTTACTTGCTTGTACGCGGGTTACATTACATTTTACGTCAGATCTACAATAGGCCTTATCTCAATGTATAAATAATTTTCCACGTCAAAATTGGGGTAGACTACCTTACGTCCGGGCCTCATCTAAACATGTTCCGATAAATAATTTTTAGTATCCACTTCATTTATACCATTGGGTTTATTAATTTTCATTATCGGTCAATATCGAACAGTTTACCTCAAGCATGCCATGTGCCTTATCTGAGTGAGTGAGCTAAAATTGTGCATAGCATCGGCAATATTGCAGCCATAGAGCGATGAGAACAATTTGAATAACAGTACAAGTCTGTCTGCAAAGGACAGTAAAACAGTGTGTTTAGTATCACAGTTTCAGTGTAAACCAAACCAAATGTTTATTAAAGTAATATTACATGATCAGCCTGTTAATCAGTATGACTTAAAAAGCTAGGTTATAGGCCACTAACGTCCAAAGTTAGACCACCTCCCGGGGAATCATGGGGCGTACGGTACCAGTTCTTCCTACGTGATTCTCAGGAGGATTTATGTCATCACGTAGTTAACCAGTGGCTGTATCGAAAGCTAGCCAATATTAAAAACATTCACCGTAATCGAGCACTTAAAACACACTTAAGTTAGGTTGGACTCACGTGCCACTGTCAGGAAGACAATAATTTTATGCCACGTTAACCCGCTGAGACCCACTGCCATTAATAATTTCAGTTCCTGATAGCATCAAACTAAGTTTAAAACAATTTAGCTACTCCAAATTTATCAAATACTTTTCTTTCCTTTGAACAACCAAGAATTAAACGAGGGCTGGTATTCATTTAAAGATCCTGTAAAGAAGATGATTGATAATAAGAATCCCTTATGAGACAAAAGTCTATACAGTCAAGCAAACCGTGCTTGGCTGTGTTTCTCTCATCACAAGGGATACAAAATGGAGGATCTTCACCGTTTGATAAATATTCATGAGTAAAACGGGCGTGGTCAATTCGACATCGTCTTACTGCGACCTCATCGTGCCTTGACTAGTATAAATCCACCATAAGTCCCCGTGGTCTCTAGTTTCAATATATGTCTGAACATCAAAACACCTTTACACACACGCGCACGCGCACGCGCGCGCACACACACACACACACACAAACACAAACACACACACACATACACAACACGCATATAATCACCAACAGACGACACAGCGTACACTCTGAAAGAAATCTACACAGATGTATACTCATCATACACACAACAACTCACATCTATACTCATACACATGACACAAACATAACTTACACTGGGATGAGTCTCTGGATGGTCTCTGGTTCTGCTCGTCTTCTCAGTCTTCTTGGATTCCTCACTTGACCGACGACAGGATGCAAATATGAAGGAATCTTCAATACATTCAGTTTGGCATACCTTCATGTCAAGTTTCCTTAAAACGATAGATCTGCTCTTCATCTTCTCCGTCAACTGAAGTCCACAATCCTTTGTACTGCATGTGGAAAGTACAACCATGAAGTAAACAGCTGATGTTAAAGCAGCCTGCAGACAGTTATTTGAACACAGCAGCAACATCATGAAGTGTTGACAGCAGACTGGAGCCTCCATACACTGAGTAGAGGACTACTGAGGCAGCTAAACGACTGGTATCAGATTACCTCATGGCAGAATTAATGTTGATACGAAGCAGTTTTGTCGGGGCCCACGTATATTTTCCATATGGTGAGTGGGCAGCAGTCCTTTAAGTGAGATCAGCGACACTATGACGTTAATTGAACCGCTTTAAGGTCTAAGACAACCACTTGACAGGGTTTTCTTATGTCATGCTGTCAAGCTATAATGGGCGCGCCAGCGGCTCCAGCCAGGGTCCATGCAGGTAGCAAACTCATGTAAGTCCATGGGCGATGGGCATGCAAAAGATACATACCTGTTTTAATCCATTTTAGGTCGCAGAAACATTTAGTTATAGTTTGAAAACCAATACTGCAACACTGTCACCCTAACGCCGCAAACAAAAGCAATAGTCCCATTATCTGCACCATGCAGTCAGCCCAGCCACATATCAATCACCATCCTAACAGCCTAGCCACATACCAATCAGCATCCCAAGAGACCAACCACATACCAATCAGTATCACAACAGGCCAGCCACATACCAATCAGTATCACAACAGCCAAGCCACATACCAATCAGTATCACAACAGACCAGCCACATACCAATCAGTATCACAACAGACCAGCCACATACCAATCAGTATCACAACAGCCCAGCCACATACCAATCAGTATCCCAACAGCCCAAGCCACATACCAATCAGTATCACAACAGACCAGCCACATACCAATCAGTATCACAACAGACCAGCCACATACCAATCAGTATCACAACAGCCCAGCCACATACCAATCAGTATCACAACAGCCCAGCCACATACCAATCAGTATCACAACAGCCCAGACCAATCATACTTAGCCAAGCCACATCAATCAGTATCAACAGACCAGCCACATACCAATCAGTATCACAACAGCCCAGCCACATACCAATCAGTATCCCAACAGCCACCACATACCAATCAGTATCCTAACAGACCAGCCACATACCAATCAGTATCCTAACAGACCAGCTACATACACCAATCAGTATCCCAACAACAGGAGCCACATACCCACCATCAGTATCCCAACAGACCAGCCACATACACCAATCAGTATCCTAACAGACCAGCTTCACATACCAATCAGTATCCCAACACCATCCATAACAGACCAGCCACATACATACCAATCAGTATCCTAACAGCCCAGCCACATACCAATCAGTATCCTAACAGGCCAGCCACATACCAATCAGTATCCCAACAGCCAACCACATACATACCAATCAGTATCCCAACAGACCAGCCACATACCAATCAGTATCCCAACAGCCCAGCCACATACCAATCAGTATCCCAACAGCCCAGCCACATACCAATCAGTATCCCAACAGCCCAGCCACATACCAATCAGTATCCCAACAGCCCAACCACATACCAATCAGTATCACAACAGACCAGCCACATACCAATCAGTATCACAACAGACCAGCCACATACCAATCAGTATCCCAACAGCCAAGCCACATCCCAATCAGTATCACAACAGACCAGCCACATACCAATCAGTATCACAACAGCCAGCCACATACCAATCAGTATCACAACAGACCAGCCACATACCAATCAGTATCACAACAGTATCCCAGCCACATACCAATCAGTATCCCAACAGCCAAGCCACATCCCAATCAGTATCACAACAGCCCAGCCACATACCAATCATCAGTATCACAACAGACCAGCCACATACCAATCAGTATCACAACAGCCCAGCCACATACCAATCAGTATCACAACAGGCCAGCCACATACCAATCAGTATCACAAAAGCCCAGCCACATACCAATCAGTATCCCAACAGCCCAGCCACATACCAATCAGTATCCCAACAGCCCAGCCACATACCAATCAGTATCCCAACAGCCCAACCACATACCAATCAGTATCACAACAGCCCAGCCACATACCAATCAGTATCACAACAGCCCAGCCACATACCAATCAATATCACAACAGACCAGCCACATACCAATCAGTATCACAACAGCCCAGCCACATACCAATCAGTATCCCAACAGCCCAGCCACATACCAATCAGTATCACAACAGCCCAGCCACATACCAATCAGTATCCCAACATCCCAACATCCCAATCAGTATCACAACAGCCACATACCAATCAGTATCCCAACAGCCCAATTAGTATCAACCACATACCAATCAGTATCACAACAGCCCAGCCACATACCAATCAGTATCCCAACAGACCAGCCACATACCAATCAGTATCACAACAGACAGCCACATACCAATCAGTATCAACAGCCAGCCACATACCAATCAGTATCACAACAGCCCAGCCACATACCAATCAGTATCACAACAGACCAGCCACATACCAATCAGTATCACAACAGCCCAGCCACATACCAATCAGTATCCCAACAGCCCAGCCACATACCAATCAGTATCCAATCACAGACCAGCCACATACCAATCAGTATCACAACAGCCCAGCCACATACCAATCAGTATCACAACAGCCCAGCCACATACCAATCAGTATCACAACAGCCCAGCCACATACCAATCAGTATCACAACAGCCCAGCCACATACCAATCAGTATCACAACAGCCAAGCCACATCCCAATCAGTATCACAACAGACCAGCCACATACCAATCAGTATCACAACAGACCAGCCACATACCAATCAGTATCCCAACAGACCAGCCACATACCAATCAGTATCCCAACAGCCCAGCCACATACCAATCAGTATCCCAACAGCCCAGCCACATACCAATCAGTATCCCAACAGCCCAGCCACATACCAATCAGTATCCCAACAGCCCAACCACATACCAATCAGTATCACAACAGCCCAGCCACATACCAATCAGTATCACAACAGACCAGCCACATACCAATCAGTATCACAACAGCCCAGCCACATACCAATCAGTATCCCAACAGCCCAGCCACATACCAATCAGTATCACAACAGCCCAGCCACATACCAATCAGTATCACAACAGCCCAGCCACATACCAATCAGTATCACAACAGCCAAGCCACATACCAATCAGTATCCCAACAGCCCAGCCACATACCAATCAGTATCACAACAGCCCAGCCACATACCAATCAGTATCACAACAGCCCAGCCACATACCAATCAGTATCACAACAGACCAGCCACATACCAATCAGTATCCCAACAGCCCAGCCACATACCAATCAGTATCCCAACAGCCCAACAGCCAGCCACATACCAATCAGTATCCCAACAGCCCAGCCACATACCAATCAGTATCACAACAGCCCAGCCACATACCAATCAGTATCACAACAGACCAGCCACATACCAATCAGTATCACAACAGCCAAGCCACATACCAATCAGTATCACAACAGGCCAGCCACATACCAATCAGTATCCCAACAGCCCAGCCACATACCAATCAGTATCACAACAGCCCAGCCACATACCAATCAGTATCACAACAGCCCAGCCACATACCAATCAGTATCCCAACAGCCCAACCACATACCAATCAGTATCACAACAGCCTAGCCACATACTTATCAGTATCACAACAGACCAGCCACATACCAATCAGTATCCCAACAGCCAATCAATACATACCAATCAGTATCACAACAGCCAGCCACATACCAATCAGTATCACAACAGACCAGCCACATACCAATCAGTATCACAACAGCCCAGCCACATACCAATCAGTATCCCAACAGCCCAGCCACATACCAATCAGTATCCCAACAGCCCAGCCACATACCAATCAGTATCACAACAGCCCAGCCACATACCAATCAGTATCACAACAGACCAGCCACATACCAATCAGTATCACAACAGACCAGTCACATACCAATCAGTATCACAACAGCCAAGCCACATACCAATCAGTATCACAACAGACCAGCCACATACCAATCAGTATCACAACAGCCCAGCCACATACTTATCAGTATCACAACAGACCACATACATCACCATCCTAACAGACCAGCTACATACACCATCACCATCCTAACAGACCAGCTACATACACCATCACCATCCCAACAGACGAGCCACATACACCATCACCATCCCAACAGACCAGCCACATACACCATCACCATCCTAACAGACCAGCTACATACACCATCACCATCCTAACAGACCAGCCACATACACCATCACCATCCCAACAGACTAGCCACATACACCATCACCATCCCAACAGACCAGTCACATACACCATCACCATCCCAACAGGCTAGTCACATACACCATCACCATCCTAACAGACCAGTCACATACACCATCACCATCCCAACAGGCCAGTCACATACACCATCACCATCCTAACAGACCAGTCACATACACCATCACCATCCCAACAGACTAGCTACATACACCATCACCATCCCCACAGACCAGCTACATACACCATCACCATCCTAACAGACCAGTCACATACACCATCTCCATCCCCACAGACCAGCTTCATACACCATCCCAACAGACGAGCCACATACACCATCACCATCCCAACAGACAAGCTACATACACCATCACCATCCCAACAGACGAGCCACATACACCAACACCATCCTAACAGACCAGCTTCATAGTTCGTACATTTGATCGTAGCCAATGTGTTAAGAATGGGCTTACGAAGTTCATAAAGCCACGAACGCTTCGATTATAGCTAGCCAGCTACATATCCCATCACCATCCCAACAGACCAGCCACACACCCCATCACCATCCTAACAGACCAGCAAGATACACCATCACCATCCCAACAGACCAGTCACATCCACCATCACTTTAAATTTTAGCTCAATCACTCACATACATCACGATCCCAACAGGCCACATACACAATTGCTATCCAAACAGACCAACCAAACAGGTCAAATCA